CCGAGGACAAAACTCAACGCCTTAATCCTGTTCCTTGGCGCCATTGCTGGTCGTGATGTAGCGGGCTATTCTCGAGGCCCAACAGAAATCTCCGTGATGATAGTGGTAGCACAGCCATCTTCTGTGATTATAGTGGTAGCACGGCCATTTCTGGTATGATAGTGGCAGCACAGCCATTTCTCGATGAAGTGGTATAGGATAATACGGGTCTTGCCAGCCAGACACACAAGAAAGAAAGGTTACGGTTACCTCCATCGCGCTGTCCCAGCACAGGTTTCCATCCGCGTAGGCGTGGATGGGGGCGTAGTAATACTCTGGGATGTCCAGAGACGCGTCCGTCATTTCAGACTGAATGTTCCTGTCATACATAGCAGCATGAAGGGTTGTCGCAGAGGGGAGAAATCAATACCCTGTAATGCCAGCGCCCACCAGGGCCTGCAGACACATACGTCGCGCACCTTGAGAGTTTCTAATCAGGCCCTCCCATCAGAAACGAAAAAAAAAACTTTCTGTTAACGTGGTTAATGGTAATCCAAACATACTACTCCAAACCAAACATAATTTTGCAATGGACAAGTGGAATAACTCTTTTTTGATGATGAGAAACTTACAGCAGCCGCTCCTTGTTTCTGTTGAGGTCGTCCAAGAACGCTGTCCACTTTATGCCCATGCCCTCCGCCTTCTTCACCTGCTGCTTCCGGTACACTCCGAAGAGCGCATCGTTGAACAGCGGGATGGAGAACAAATAGTCCAGCACCTGTAACAAATTGGTTTCGTTGGTGCCGGACGGGAGTAACCTTCATTCCGCCATTGTTGTGTCCTTTAAGAGATGGTGGTCGGAGGGTGTTGGCGTTGGGAGCAACGTCGACTCCCCCGCTGTTGGTGGTGTCGCGGTGGTGGTCATGGGCGGGTGTTTGCGGTGTCACTGCGGTGGTTCTTATTCTCAACGTTGACAGCCGAGTTTACCTCGAGCCACTCAATGAATAAACCATCTGCACTCGGCAGACGTCAAGGCTTTGTTTAGCATTCAGACTTCCGAAGGACACGCGAAAAGAGTAGAAAAGGGCTGTATGTTACTTCGCACGAACCGGAAAAAAGAACCAAATCAAGGTACAACAACGTCATCAGATACAATGTTGGCAAAAACACACAAGACCAAACAAAAAAACAACGAAATGAAGACGCCACAAGTCTACATACCTTTTTACAAGCGCTATTATACTTAGGTGTCAAAGAGTAACGGCATGGACGACAAGGATGGAAGAGCTGTTACAAGGTAGGGGGACACGCAAGTGCAAGCACCGCAATGTTACGGAACCTACGGAATCACATGCTGTGCTTTTTCCTCGATTGTTCTTCGGGCGTCTTGGGCTCTTCGGCAACGGACGGTACACGTGTGTTATGATCTAACACGAAGATGAGAGGGGGGATCATGGTGAAAGTTTAAGAATTTCGTCCAATTTCACCCAGATAACTTGGGGGGCAGAACGGTGGAGTGGGGAGCGGTAAACGGCGACGACAAAAAGAAAAAACACACAACGCCCTCGTGACACAAATATGCGGTGTCTTCGAAGCAGAAATCAAACCAACAAGATCAATTCCACGCACCGAACACAGCTTGTGCCGTACCAACGTACGTGTAACCATGGCTTCATCCGGAACTCTCTTTCTTTGCCCGTTCTTCGAAAACATCACGGTATCCACTCTTTTGGAGGCAACCGCCCGCCGGCGTCACGCCCAAGCCCCCCCCCCCAAAAAAAAAAAAATTCCCCACCTTGAACTGCCACGTCTCCAGCACCGCCGCGCCGTCAACGTTGGGGATGGTGGTATCCACCCGGTTGTTGGTGCTCGTTACTCGCTCGTTCCGCGTGATGAGCACCATGCTCGGCGCCTCCACGCTTCGACCTCGGGGCGCTTTTTTTTGTTCGTGCGACCAACGGGTGGATGGAAGCATGGATGGATCGACAGATTTTCGGGCGAAGCCGGAGGAGAGGGGCAGGACGACGGTGAAATGAAGGACGAACATGTATCCAATGAATTGATTCATAATTAAAAAAAAAATAGGAAGGCCTGGGAAAGGAAAGGCAGTGACCGAATAGCAACATCGCCCTGCGGAAAGCGTCCAGTACGTGAGTAATCTTTTGCCCACGCATCCCGAAGAGGTTTCGAGGCGATATATTCCCGCGAAAATGTTGCCAACGGCGCACCTAACCCCCCCCTCCCCAACCCCGCCCCCTCGCATGCCAGCTGTGGATCCAAGCGGTTGTTTGCTCCAACCATTGCGACTTGGGTCATCACAGCATATCAGGCTTGCCCGTCGCCCATGCATGTATGTTTTGCCGCTTGCTCCGAAAAAGACGCCACGCTATAAGGAAGCAGACACTGAAATGAACACGGAAGGGTCTGGAATGGAGAGAAGCGAGATTATTCCCCCCAAAAAAACAGTTTTGGTGCGGGATGCGGATAGAGTCCCGCCAACAATTCGACTCCCCAAGTAAGGGCAAGGATGATGTTTTTCATACATTAGCAGCCTTTCCCGCATTAGGAAACTACGGTAGCGTCTGGCTGCTGCTGCCTGCCTGCCGATCCGAAGGGCAATGATATGTACGCACGTATTAGAGGCTAGACGCCGGGTGCAGTTCAAATGTTCGTTGGGGATGAGTGTGACACGGTTTAACAAGCAACAGCATCAATCACAAGGTTTACGCGTCTCTAAAGAGCATGAAGAAAAAGAAACGAGGAACGCTCGGGTGTCAAAATACGTGAAAGTTCATTTTTGCCGTTTTGACGACGATGTCATGTTACAATGCTACTTGAGGGCTTTCTGCTGAACGCTTGCAAACTCGTATGCACACATGTAACTGACGGCGATGGCGTGAGCGCGCGAAGAGAGACACAAGTCGGAGCTTGAGAGTCTTGCGCGCCGCAGTACGGCAATGCATATGCACAGACTTTGTTGTGCGATCTGAAATGTGCTTGGAACTGCAATTTGGAGATGCCAACTACGAGAAGCTTTTGTGTCATTGTCATCTCTGGTGACTGTGTGTCTTGAGGAACCCAGGATTCGTGTTGCTCGTAAGATGTGATAGCGTGCGAGAGAAGCCCACATATGAAAAACTTCCCTCACTGGCCGACGCAGAGCAGATGGTACTGACGCCATCATAGCCGCTCTAGATACAGACCACCGAATGGGCGAGGGATGGAGGGAAGGGTTTTTGGTTTTTGATTTGAATCCACATTTTTAGCACGTGGATGGCATGTCATTCATGTTCGCGCATGAGACACGTTACTGAGACACGAATTGATGACAAACCCTAACCCGAACCCTGGCGCGAGTCAGCTTGTTTGAGGATGTACGATGAAAACTAGCGGAGGACTGAAAAGTAAAAGTGAATCCGAAACCCGAACACAACGCAATAGTGTTGGGAAAAAAAAGCATACAATTAGAACGAGCCTCAGTGCGACATTTTAATTGGACCGCCCAGTCTGACGTCAGAGATGTCGGCTCTGACTATATACCATAATCAAGAATATCGCTCATAAACAAAGAGAAAGGATGAGTATCTTGGCAAGCGAGACGCATAGCCCCTCTCCGGCACGTGTGTCCGTACGCCTGGTCATGTCCATACAGTGATTTGCATGAGCCAAAATCCATCTTCGGCGGGCTTACAGCGCCATCTCGTGTCGAGGCAAACTAATAATTTTCCCTATTACATTTACAGACAACTTTCGAATGTTCCCCAGACACGGCCTACCATTCTCACGATGCTGCTGCATACAGCAGAGGACAAAGCATAGCAAGCGAAGTCTTCCATCCGTTTGGCCGCGGGTATGAAGGGGGGAACATGAACCGGTCACCCTCCTAAAAAGAGAGCACGGGCTTGAAAAAGGGGTTCGACAAACAACCACACAAGACTTGTACTATGTGTATGAGAGGCAGAAAAAGCCGACAAGAGAGGCTGCCTTTGAAGTAGATATGGGTAAGCGTATAATGCCAAGACTTGTGGTTGTTACTACTAGGCGCATGTCAGCGCTACATCGATGTACCACCATAGCGATAGAAGCTCTCGAGAGGAACAGCTGCCAAGCAATCGAATTCTGTGAAAACATCTATCACTCACAAAAACAGGAAGGATCTACGATTGTTGACGGAAAAGCAAGCGAAGCTTCTGCCGTCGAGGAGGCAGGTGCGTCACGGGCAACGAGGTGAAAGGGGTGTGAAGGTCCACGTTACTCTCGTCCACAAGCCACTCACAGCAAACGAAACAAGCTGCGATCCACAGCAAGGTGAATCGTCCCTGAAACATGCTGCTGTAGGGTACGTAGGGAGACCCCACACGCAACAGGCAGGCTTTCGATTTGTTCCCTCGAGATGTTGCGCACGCCAAAAAACATGAGGCTCTTGCTGTGCGTGCATGCGTGGATAGCTCTCTCACCTGGTCGAGACGCGGACGAAGAGGATGTCGGCACTGACCGCACCCACCCGCTACCCTGCAACCCTGGCCTAATGTGGAAGGCCGTGGAGGCCGAGCACAGGAAGCTGAGAGCCGTTGCCACGATTGCTCTCCTCATCTTGAGAGTTGGTCTACAGATTCTGTCTCTCTCGTTCGTTTCTCCTCTCTCCCGCTCGATGGATTGGCTCTCCCCCTTTCTCCTGCTCCTGCTGTGCTAGTGCCCTGGTATCTCTAGACACAGCAGGAAGTGACTAATGATTCCACGGCCAAGCAAGTCTCAGCGGTAGAGCTCTGATACGTCAGCAGAGAAGCGCGAGATTCAGCGCGTGAGAGACACGCCCTAAAACCTGGCCTCCACGCCAGCCAAAAAAAAAAAACACATCGACCGGGATCGCTTCAACCAGATGGTAACAGGACATCAAGGAGGCATTTGTGGTTCGGGCTCAGAGAAAAAACGGTTCGGCGAAGTTTCCCCCTTGTGAGCCGAAGTTCGACCGCAGTAGCATCAGAGTGCACCCCACCTCCACAAGGCCTCGCTCGCGCTACTCTTGACGGGGCCCTAGATCCAACAACTGTGGCGCTCACCCGATGGCCGAACGATCCACGCACCTTACGTATGGCTAGATATACAACACATTCACGAGGGAAAAGATGCGCTGGGCGGAGGTCGCACGCACTCAAGTAAGTACCCTATCATGGACTCTGATTCGAGGTCACTGCTGCTGCGTGCTTGAAGCGTTCAAAACCGGGCCGTCACAGCAGTAGCATCCATTTTCCTGATTGTAGTTAACATGACTCGATGTAAAAAAAAGGCTTGAATCGAAGATCGCGGACATCGTGTATCATTAGGGCTCAATCCACGTGCACGGGTGACTCGGACGGATGCGGGTAAGGGCTCTGGGCTTGAAGGAACAAGGTGGATGAAGCAGTGTGGTGCCATCATCGGAGCTGTCACTGTTCAACGGTCGTTTGAGTACGTCGGGAAGGATACGAGCGCCTAACGTGACCCTATGGTTGGTCAACAGAGGGTTGAGAAGCTGTCGTGAGGGACTTGGAGGAACGTAGATTTGTTTGTCCATTCTTTCCCCCTTCCGTCCGGACGTCCATTTCATTTGCTGGATTCTTCGTTATTTAGGTGAACGAGATGCCACCGCATGAAACGGGAACGCAGCTTGTCTTCTTGAACTTTTCCGTGCGATCCAATCAAACAGGCAGTGCGCACAATCCTCTCCTGCGGAGGGGGCCACCCGACAAGAAAATGAGTGCACGCAGATATCTCTATTCCGGAAGCGAACACCACCAAATAATTAAATCAGGTCGTGGTGGCTGTTTTCGTCACCGCGGAAATGGAACGTTTTGGTAGCACGATTCGTTTGATGATAGGCACCACCAAAGATTTGAAGAAAAAATTCAGGAACACCTGACGGTGGAGAACGGCAACCACAGCGCAACGATTTAATTAAACAGACGGTTAACATCGGACACTTAACAAGAGAACAAGATGTCTGAGAAGTTAGGAAAAAATGGTTCAACACGAGGTCGGAGGAGGAAGGGCATATCATGGGCGCCTTCCCTCCTACATCTCAATTCATTCGATTGGAACTCTCAACATGTTTCTCCGCGTCCCAGGCGCACCTGTGCTGAAAAACTGCCGGGACATTTGTGACAGGTGCAAATGTATTTCGGGAAGCGCCTTTGGAGATGTTGTTCGAGATCCTCCTCTCCCACCGTATGCTTCTTGCAAACAGTTGTAGTGATGTGATACCATGGTACAGGTAGGTGCTACAAGTCGAGCGCTGCGCTGTGATGGTATATTTTCCGATGAACATGTACATCGCGCAAAAAGTGTTTACGTCGTGCATCTGCACGCAGAGGGTGGTTCAAGGTGGTGCAAACCAAATGGGTGGGCCGGGGAGAAGATAAGTCGAACTTCGTTTGAAGCGTGGTTCCCCCCCGGAGACATCGTACATACGTAAATGTAGTTCCCGCATATGTTTTATGTTATTCTATTGATGTTTTAAAGTTCAGAACTTTTTGAAATCTTTTCAGAGCCTTTTCTCCTCTGCGCTTCAATGCAAGGCAACGAATTCATGTAGTACATGCTACCGCACAACAGCTAGGTACAAAAAGTCAACCGACTCCCGGGAAAGCCCCAAAAACACTCGCAATGAACTATTGTAGGGAATCTACAGAGAACAAGCACAGGAGGGAGACTACAAGGCCTGACAGCACAAACAGCAAAAAGAACAGGAGAGCTCAGTGCTGCTCCAGTCACTCGTGAGCTGAGTTACTACACAACTCTAAGGAGTACCACCATAATACATACGTTAAACCCGAGGAAGCTATCCTCGCACTCCATAGCACCTGAACCGATACGGGATGCACACCATTAACACGAATTGGAACAATCTACGAGCTCAAAAAAGGGACGAAGTACGGTAGCACGAGTAAGGCTCCGGATGATCGATTGTGTGGCACGAAACACGGCAACGCACGTCGGGTCGTCGACACCCAACGGCTGCCAAATCGGAAACAGTAGCAGATGTAGTCGTCGCAATCGAGGTTCTTCGTTTTCTTGCATCCATCTATTGCCGGCATTGATGGGTTGTCTGCTGTCACCAGACTCGCAAAAAAAAACACCGGCGCCTACAACAGCCCGACGTGCCAGTCATCGCATTAACCATCTACATTCAGTACCTGGAACAAATACCTACCCCAAAATCCCTCCCCATGCTTGGTAACACAACTTTGTGGAGACCGCAGCAACAGCAACGGCCGTCAGGTAGCATACAAGCAGTTCGCGTGCGCCTTAGCGTTACCCTGATTAGTAGCCCGACCAAGCCAAACGCCGCATTGCCGTACCGACGTATGTATGCACTTCGGGTGCCTTACTTTGCCACAGCCCGGACTCTCTGTTCCCCTCGGCAAAGGTAAAAGCTCACATGTCGCATATTTAGCACACATACACAAACCCAGGCTAAAAAGATAGGGAAAAGCACAAGTCCACCGCTGGCATCTGCTTCTACGTACGATCCCGGGGTGGAGGGCACCACAAACAAGCAAAAACTAGCACTCATACATACAACGGTGATAGCCCTCACGCACAGCAAAAATGTGTTAAAAAGCATAAGTGTTTTCAATCTAGTACTTTGCCTCACCCACCAATTTAACCCCCTCTTACCAGCACCCCCCCCCCCCCCCCCCCCCCCCCCCCCCCCCCCCCCCCCCCGATGTTTGCCGTCGGGTTGGGTTTTCGTCGGTTGGCAACGACGTTGCAAAACAAGCCCCCCCCCTCGGTGTTTGCCATCGGGATTGGGTTTTTGTCGCTTGGCAACGACGTTGTAAAACAAGCCAATTCACTTCGTGAGCTCGGCAACCAGGTACCTGTTTTTTCTTACTTTTTACCTCTGTTTTCTTTTTGGCGGTAACCATGATAGTGGTCGAGTAGATCATGTTGTGCGGGGTCGAGAACCCTCACTCCGCGCAAGGGGGATGATCGCACCACGTTGTGTTNTTCGCGCTTGGTGATGTGAGAGCCTGGTCTGGTGAGAACCCGGCGTGCTCCGTCCCGGCTTTGTAGGGATGCGAGGTCAATGGTCTAACGACTAGGGCATGCACGACTATGAGTACACCCCCCCCCTTACCAGGCGACGTACACGCGCGGCGCACCTACATATCTCATCAGACTACGCGTACGCGAGACATAAAATCGCAAAGATAACGCCGCCTCCTCTTAACGCGTTCTAACGTCAACAAACGCTCTCAATTCTGAGAAACACAAACGCGGTGTTGTTGCCGACGAACACGACCAACATCTGACTACTCTGAGTCGCCCGTCGCTATGAGCTCCCACAATGAAATCATTTCTTCCTCGTATGACCTCCTTTCCCGGCCACCGACCTCCCCCACACACCAGCCCCCTTCCGCCGCAGTAGCGCCTCTGCCTACAGCTACCGCCGCCGCCGCGGTGGCGCTCGGAGTCTTAGAGAGGGTAGCAGGGGCACCCGAGAGGGTCGCCAGAGCGATCGCGGCGGCAGAAGCCTCACCCGCGGTCATCCCCGAGGCGCCGCCGGTCGTTGCCTCCGCACACCCCTCACGCGGCAACGGCAAGGGCACCGCCGGAGGCGCCTCCAATCCAACGGCTGGATCCGCCACCGCTGCCGCCGCCGACGGTGACCCTTGTCGCGCACACGGCTGCGACAGGTCAGGGGGGGCGTCGTCTTCGAGAAGCATCTCGTTGCTCATGAGTTGCAGGTCGCTTGATGCCGCGGAGGGAGGAGCGGCGGGCGGAGGGCGCGGCTCGCCAGCCGAAGGGGTCCCGCCGCCGCCGCTGCCGCCGCCGCCGCAACCGACTTGCCACTGCCACGGGGGGAGAGCAAGCTCGTGGCTGCCGCAAGGACGGGGCGCTCCCAGCGTGCTGACGGCAAGCGAGGGAACAAACTGGCCGGCGCTGGCGGGGCCGGACGGGCTGCTGTTGGCTTGAGCCCCCGGCTGCTTCTGCTGCTGCTGCTGCCGCGGCATGCCCCAGAGTCGTGACGTGAGCGTGCCAGCGGCGGGTGCGGCCGCCAGCATTGCTCGGACGCCTCCGGAGACAGCAACCCTCACCGGCGACACCTGCTGATGTTTCATGGCCATCGCCAGCGCCGCGGCCTCGTGCTGAGGCGACGGGGCAACGGGTGTGGGCATGCCGAGTTGCTGCTGTGCACGGCGGGGGCCGTAGAATACGGGGGCCTGACGGGGGGTGCTGCTGCTGCTGCTGCTGCTGTTCCTGAGGGTAGCCTGGAGCGCGGCGGGGTCGCCATGCCCATGGCGCGCCGCCGCCAATCCCGCCAACCCCAGGTCGTCTCCGGACGCGGCCAAGCTGTACGTCGAAATCGTGGCACCACGCTGCTCCTGGCTCGGCCTACTTCGAGCGGGCAGGCGGCTGCTGGCGCTGGCGCTGGCGCCATCAGCGCTTCGGTCCCCACCACGCCTGACCTCCGCCGCACCGCGAGCGGCCGGGGCCGTAATAGCCGTCGCCGCGGCCGACAACACCCCCAGGCGCATGCCCTGGCGGTGCCCGAACGACGGGGTTTGGAGCGGCGACGACGATGGCGGCAAAAGGTTCTGGTCGCCGGCGCCCCCCCTCTCAAGCGGTGCTACGCCATCATCTGCGTGGCAGGTGGGCGCCGCGGGGCTACGAGGACCGATCATCATTGCCGCACCACCGGCGCCGTTGTGGGACAGCTCCCCCCCCGAGGTCGGTGGTACCGCCGGCCAACAAGGGGGGTACTCCTGCGCCCACCGCCGCTCTCCCGTCTCCCCCGCCGCCGCGCCTTCTGCTTCCCGGGGTACCGCTGCCGCACTCCCGGGCAAAACGGCGGCAAAGGGGTGCTGCTGCTGCTCGGCGAGACCTGGTTGACCCGCGGGCATGACGGCGGCAACCGGCGCCGCCGAAGCAGGCCCTGCGTCCGGCATAAGACAGTCTCGCGGGGAAGAAGGGTGAACCTCCGGCGGGGAGGGAGGCGGCGACCCCAAGACAAGGGCCGAGCTTCTCTCTCCCTGCGGTGCCCGCGTCATCGGTGGAGCTACTCCGGCGGTGGCCGCTGCCGACTTTCTCTCTCCCTGTGTCGTCGTCGTCGTCGTCGTCGTCGTCGGGTGGTTGTCGTCGCCGCTTTCTCCGGAGTCGGCCGTAATCGCCG